TAGGTATTAAGTAGGCCATTCCCAGACCTATATTAACATGAACTTTTCGACTCACTCCAGAATCAACCGAAAAAGAACCCTTTTTGACTTTTGGCGACATACTAGAAAGCACCCACCGGTATATTGGGTTGAAATGGATCAGCAAGTATTTCGGATAACCCAGTGGGCATTGTTCAAACTCCAGAATGACATATGTTACAAGATGGTTGTGGGTGACAGAGAAAGAAAAAACTAAATGAATGAAAAATATCTAAGCATTAGCATAGGAGTTCGCTAATGTAAACTACCAACAACAGTCGAAATAAAGTGTGGAATAAGAGGTAATAGAAGTTTCTGGAACTAATTTTGACTCACCCGTACAATGCTTTCAATCATATAAACGTACAAAAATGTTCAGGAGCCTCACAAGGTTGAAAAATGTTGTGATGTATCGTAAAATTTCAGCACTATGCGATTGTGGCACGCAGCGAATGTGGTCTCACCCTGTATAGGTATTAAGTAGGCTATTCCCAGACCTATATTAACATGAACTTTTCGACTCACTCCAGAATTAACCGAAAAATAACCCTTTTTGACTTTTGGCGACATACTAGTAAGCACCCGCCGGTATATTGGGTTGAAATGGATCAGCAGGTATTTCGGATAACCCAGTGGGCATTGTTCAAAGTCCAGAATGACATATGTTACAAGATGGTTGTAGGCGACAGAAAAAGAAAAAACTAAATGAATGAAAAATATCTAAGCATTAGCATAGGAGTTCGCTAATGTGAACTACCAACGACAGTCGAAATAAAGTGTGGAATAAGACGTAATAGAAGTTTCTGAAACTAATTCTGACTCACCCGAACAATGCTTTCAATCTTATCAACGTTCAAAAATGTTCAGGATCCTCAGGAGGTTGAAAAATGTTGTGATGTATCGTAAAAGCTCAGCATTATGCGATTGTGACACGCAGCGAATTGGGTCTCACCCTGTATGGGTATTAAGTAGGCTATTCCCAGACCTATATTAACATGAACTTCTCGACTCACTCCAGAAACAACCGAAAAACAACCCTTTTTGACCTTTGGCGACATACTAGAAAGCACCCGCCGGTATATTGGGTTGAAATGGATCAGCAGGTATTTCGGATAACCCAGTGGGCATTGTTCAAAGTCCAGAATGACATATGTTACAAGATGGTTGTAGGGGACAGAAAAAGAAAAAACTAAATGAATGAAAAATATCAAAGCATTACCATAGGAGTTCGCTAATGTAAACTACCAACAACAGTCGAAATAAAGTGTGGAATAAGACGTAATAGAAGTTTCTGGAACTAATTCTGACTCACCCGTACAATGCTTTCAATCTTATCAACATTCAACAATGTTCAGGAGCCTCAGGAGGTTGAAAAATGTTGTGATGTATCGTAAAAGTTCAGCATTATGAGATTGTGGCACGCAACGAATTGGGTCTCACCCTGTATAGGTATTGAGTAGGCTATTCCAAGACCTATATTAACATGAACTTCTCGACTCACTCCAGAATCAACCGAAAAACAACCCTTTTTGACTTTTGGCGACATACTAGAAAGCACCCGCCGGTATATTGGGTTGAAATGGATCAGCAGGTATTTCGGATAACCCAGTGGGCATTGTTCAAAGTCCAGAATGACATATGTTACAAGATGGTTGTAGGCGACAGAAAAAGAAAAAACTAAATGAATGAAAAATATCTAAGCATTAGCATAGGAGTTCGCTAATGTAAACTACCAACAACAGTCGAACAGGTAACCGGTTGTGGGCTTACAAACAAGGTTTATCTTCAGCGGAGATATTTAATTTCGAAACGGCACCCAATCCTACTAAAGTTGCACCGCATTATCATCAAATGCCAGCCTGCCGATCATTTGTTATTTCGGACATACAAGAAACTCAGCGGACGGACCACTTGAAAAGTGATACCTGGATGCATTTTAGATGTTATCTACGTTGACATTTGCTGCTAGTTTAATAGCCTCAAATTAACTTCACTAGTTCAGTTTATCTAGTCCTTTTGTATAAATAAACCACACGAACTACAAGGTGCATTTTTGATGGCTCTGGAATCTTTTACCTACAGAGTGGCCCCTATCAATTTTATCTGTGTTGACAAAATATGCTGTAATTAATTTCCTTTCGGTCTTTTACGGTTCAGAAGGTGTAATACTGGACGCCAGAGACACCATAAAATCGAGGTACTTTCAGAATTTTAGTTCTCACGAGACGTGTTGTAGAAAATTTGTAATTTGATGACCAAAAACGCATTTTGATCGGCTAGCTATTTTTGATCACTCGTGTTTACAATGTTTACATATAATAGCTTTTGACTCATTTCGTACCTAGATGACATACATCGACTTCAACAGCAACAACTGTATGACAGCGCATGCGTCATCTCAAAATGAGAAAATACATCAGTTTGCGAAATTGTTTTCTGCACGTGATGGCTTTGTTGTGAACATATTTGATCTTTTCGAATGTTCTTCCTGCTTCGTTGACGTTTGCTGCTAGTTTAAAAGCCTCAAATTAACTTCACTAGTTCAGTTTATCTAGTCCTTTTGTATAAATAAACCACTCAAACTACAAGGTGCATTTTTGATGGCTTTGGAATCTTTTACCTACAGAGTGGTCCCTATCAATTTTATCTGTGTTGGCAAAATATACTGTAATTAATTTCCTTTCGGTCTTTTACGGTTCGGAAGGTGTAATACTGGACGTCAGAGACATCATAAAATCGAGGTAGTTTTAGAATTTTAGTTCTCACGAGACGTGTTGTAGAAAATTTGTAATATGATGTCCAAAAACGCATTTTGATCGGCTAGCTATTTTTGATCACTCGTGTTTACATATAATAGCTTTCGATTCATTTTGGACCTAGACCTCCAAGTGAAGCCAAAAATTAGAATAACACTGTATGACAGCGCATGCGTCATCTAAAAATAACAAAATACATCAGTTTGCCAAATTCTTTTCCGCAGGTGATGGCTTTGTGATGAATATATTTGATATTTTCGAATGTTCTTCCTGCTTCGTTGACGTTTGCTGCTAGTTTCATGACCTGAAATTGACTTCACTAGTTCAGGTCATCTAGTCATTTTGTAGAAATAAACCACACGAACTACAAGGTGCATTTTTGATGGCTCTGGAATCTTTTACCTACAGAGTGGCCCCTATCAATTTTATCTGTGTTGACAAAATATGCTGTAATTAATTTCCTTTCGGTCTTTTACGGTTCAGAAGGTGTAATACTGGACGCCAGAGACACCATGAAATCGAGGTAGTTTTAGAATTTTAGTTCTCACGAGACGTGTCGTAGAAAATTTGTAATTTGATGACCAAAAACGCATTTTGATCGGTTAGCTATTTTTGATCACTCGTGTTTGCATATAATAGCTATTGACTCATTTTGTACCTAGATGACATACATCGACTTCAACAGCAAAACTGTATGACAGCGCATGCGTCATCTAAATATCAGAAAATACATCAGTTTGCTAAATTCTTTTCTGCACGTGATGGCTTTGTGGTGTACATATTTGATCTTTTCGAATGTTCTTATTGCTTCGTTGACATTTGCTGCTAGTTTAATAGCCTCAAATTGACTTCACTAGTTCAGTTTATGGTTTGTGAAACCATCATCTCAAAAATCTCAAGAACAAAATAAGATTGTTTCGGACCTGTTCAGTACCTTTAATCATTGGCCGATTTTCAAAAGAACTTCTATCACTGAAACTTCGAAATAAAAGTGATTGAATTATAATTGAATCAATTAGGGGCTCTCCTTGTTTTTCCCATTCCACTGACAGCTCTGACTTACTAAGCCAGCTATCGGGAAAACATTCGCGGAGGAATATAATTTTCATAGGCACCGGTAAAAAATTTAACAACAAACAACAACAAACGACAACAACTCACCTCAAAAGAATTTCAACTTTCGACGAGACAGCATAACTTGTAAAATGTAAATGCTGTCGCCATTTTGACTCCTGACTTTTACCAAACCCGCGCTTGCGCAAATATCTCTGTTTGTACCCGCAGACTGTCATCTGTTTTTACAAAACTGTCTTCACTATTTGATCATGAAAACAAATGGATGTTATCCGTATATGTTTGCTAGATGTTTGACGCGTATACCTACAACTCTGCTCCATAAGGGGAAGAGAAAGTTCGTGATGACGTGGGGTGACAGAAAGCAAAAAGCGCCGCAGGCGAACTTTCTCGTCGTCCAAGGTCGAATGTCTTCAAATTGATTGTTAGGTTTGTCAACGGGGTATCATAAAGGTGTGAAAAATTGATTTCAAATTCAGTTTGTTTCATCTACCTGGGAATTTGAATTTCCTCAAGGTCACAAAAATTGAATCAAATAAAATGAATATCAAGTTTACTTCAACCTAAAGAAACGCTGGAGTGTAATTCGGTGAGACAATTCAATCAATATACGTAAATAGCATTATTGTTAATGTTTATTCAATTTCCCCACTGCCATTCGTTTGATTTTTGACATCTCATTTTTCCGTTTTCTAGTCTTTTTGAGAGTTCGGCATGAACAGATAAGACTTTTTTCAATTCTGATCTGAATCGTTCCTATTCTCATGATTATGAAATTCAAAGTTCTCTAACAAAGGGGTTCCGCAATGATTGCAGCACCCATTTAGCTTTATTATCATGTAATAGTTTTTTTTTTATATTTCTTAATAATTCTGACAAATTAGAAACATAACTATTTTCCTCCAGAACACGTGAGTTTTTTAGACCTATCGTTGTTGAAGGGTAGTCTCTGTTTTTCTCTCACTTTGGTGCTCCTATGTTACAAAAACATGCTTCGAAACATGCCCCGTGAAGTTGCCTACAATGAAGGATAGTTTTGGTGAATTTCGTCCTGTCCAAATTAACTCATTTCCGACGAGAATGTCAGATATACGACCACCCTTCTGATTAGTACGGCATAATAGTCCACTAATTCAACTTTCCCGATTCCAGAGTCTGCGCAGGGAGCGAAGTACGGAGGCTGCTTCCCAGGCGAAGAAACAGTCCTGACCTCGAAGGGCACCAGAACCAAACTCTCCGACCTGCGGATAGGCGAGCAAATCCTCGCCCTCGATGCCAGCACGAACACCCTCGTCTTCAGCGAGGTCATCCTCTTCCTGGACCTCGATCCTCATCAGAAGCGTCAGTTCGTCACCCTCACGCTGAGGTCTGGCCGGACGCTGGTAGTCACTCCCAGTCACCTGGTGCTCACTGGCACGGCGAAGCGGTTCAGAACAGTGTTCGCTGAGCAAGTGAAAGTCGGTGATACTTTGTTGGTTACACTGGAAGGAAATAATAGGTAAATATTGAGGAAAAAGTTATTTTTCTGCAACCGACACAAAAGTCATCCATTTTGACACCAAAATTAGCTCTTAAATTGACGTTTCTATGACTGACACAAATATAGGTATGTTGCTAGGCAACATATTCAGTTCCAAGGAGCTAAAGTTGAACTTCAGTTCCTAAGAGAACATACAAACCAAATATAAAAAAAACTATATTGTGGTTTATAGGTTATGATTAATTGAAAAAAGAGTGAAAATCAATAAATGACTCTGTATATATCTTGGTTATAAAGAATGATATAGACCCATGAAATATAGATTATTCAGAAGCACCTCGGTGTCCTCCATCTACCCTCATTGTATGCGCATGCATCAATGAATCACCCTGTATATTCGATTCTGCAAATTGTTAGCCAAGGCCTCAGCCGCTTAGTCCATAGACAATTTTTCTAAGAGGTGCATATTAATTTTTTTTTCACACGTGAAATCTATCAGATTTCGGGAATGATCAATTTTACAACAGAAAATGACAGTAGTTGTCAATTCACTCTTTGCGCGGACCAGGGTTGTCAGTTCGATTTTTATTTCATCAGTATTAGACCTTGTCAAAGATTCAGATCTACAACATATAATCATATTCTTGTTTCTCAATTTGAAAATACACACAAAAGTATCACAAAATACAGTTACATAGGTATTCATAAGTTTTGAATATATCAAAAACTGGAACTAATAGTAAAATCCAACAACAAAAAAACAAAAAAGAATAAAAACCTTAACATAAGAAGAACATTGTTATAACAGAGGTATATAAAAACAAAACAAAAACGTGGAGAATTTATTTATGTTATGTCTGAAGCACTTCTGAATTACGTTGATTACTTTGATAAAATTGTCCAATGAGATTATGTCGATGGTCATTGGCATCCGCGATGAAAATTAGTTTCACCTGAATGAACCTCTAACTTGGGCTGTCCTCTTCATCAAATGTTTGGGAAAATTCTACTGCACTTGGAGTAAATATGGAGTTCTACCAGGAATTTCACTGTATATTGTTTATTCGAATTATTGACAATTGTATGCTGAAAATTTTTTCTACGGCTATAACACAAGATTGGTCTTGTTATACGAATCTATACATAGTGGAGTATACTACGGCCTTGCCAAAAATGCTATCTCGGAAACTAAGCGAGATAGAGGTATAGTTACTTCGGAGAAAATGATCCCCATCGAATTTTGACCATAAATCGATATATCTTCGGAACCCTTTGACATATCGACTTGAAATTTTGCTATCTTATTGTATACTCAAAACAATATTATGTCATATAAATATGAAGGAAATCGGAAAACTCTAAGGTGATTTTTCCGGGTTTTTTCGATTTTTCATCGGAAGTTTCTTGTGACCACTCTACAAATCGCAAAAGTGGTCCGATCAATTTCTTTTTTTGTGAAAAAAAAAACTCTATCAGGGAGAGACGAAGCCTATTGAAATTGAGCAGGGTCGAAAAATTCCAAGTAGGTTTTTCAAGGAGATTTTCCGAAACACACGGTTCGCTTTAAAACGACATATCTCCTGAACCACTAGACTAAATCCAAATTCGGAAAATGCACCGTATGCCTCTTTAATGACGCAACAAATCATTATGTTACTATTTTTTCGTGCATTCATCGGAAAATGGAACAACAAATGAAAATCAAAACATCAATATTTGAAATCCTTTCAATTCAATATATATCGAAAACAAATGAAAAAATCGAAAATTATCTGGAGTGCAAAGTTATTCACCAGAACATTTCTTACAGATTATTACCCATAATTTTTTCTGTAAACTCAACAGTACAGGAAATAAAGTAAAAAATATGAAAAAAAAATTTTTTGAACGACCCATAGGGTACCATGGAGATATATTGAAAAACAAAGATTATCGATAGATGAAGCTCATCGACTTCCACTGAACCATGATATATTTTTTCCTTTTGTTGATTGGAAGATGGAACAAAAGTGTTGAACATTTTATTCTCAGATAATTCCAAATATCTCGAAAACAACTGAAAATATCTGAAAATGTGTTGAAACCAGAATTATTCCTTTTGATAGAATCTACAAAGAATCCGTATAACATTTTTCTCTGAATTCAATAGTTCGGGAGATACGATGAAAAAACTAAAAAATCCACAAGTTCCTAGATAATCACTTGCCAATAGAAAACAAAACAAAAAACAAAAGAAAGTAAAAAAAGCACACTCGACTGTCTTGATTTTTTTCTTATAAACTACGTACCTAGCTCACTCGACTATCCTTATTTTCCGCCAATAAACTAGGTACCTAGCTCACTCGACTGTCTTAATTTTTTGCTCATAAACTACGTACCTAGCTCACTTGACTGTTTTGATTTTTTCCCACAAACTACGTACCTAGCTCACTCGACTGTCTTGATTTTTTCCCACAAACTACGTACCTAGCACACTCGACTGTCTTGATTTCCCACAAAGAAGAAATATGTTGGCATTGTTTTAACTTTCTTTTGTTTTTGTTCTTTTAGTCCCTATTGGCAGTCGAGTGGGCTAGGTACGTAGTTTGTGTGGAAAAGCCAAGACAGTCGAGTGGGCTAAGTACGTATAGTTTGTGGGAAAAATCTACAGTTCTCTGAACTTTCATAGCATCGTATACACATCTTCGGTGCCCAATGATAGTTTCAATATAAAAATATGCTCATGATATGGTGCCATGGCCTCTACTCCCATCTTACATGAGCAATGACGAAATGTCATCTGCTTTTATAGCGTCTTATAAATTATCTGACCTCTATACCAATCTAATACCTAATGAAAACTACATCTATACTAATCTGATACATTTCAAAAACTACGTACCTCACTTGTTTCACTGTCTTCGATACATCAATGAGGTACTCTGTATATCATCAGTTTAATTTCCGTATCTGATATCACAATGACTCCATTGTGTTATTATTTCAAAAAAAAACTCACCGCTCATGGAATGTCAAATTGCAAGCGATGCCAGCTCTGTCTTATAATAAATGATCATTACTTGACAGGAAATCAGATGGCTACAAGACGAAGATATCGAAAATGCCGCTACTCGAACTCCATTCTCGTAGGAAATCACTATCATTCCGTGCTCGTTAAACAATATACTATTGCTAAATCCGTTACAAAATCCATTCTGTTACTAAAACCATCCTTTTTCTCTGTGTAGCGCTTCTAGTGACCATGAGACAGTGGAGGACAGTGTAGTGAAAGTAGGCGCAGTGTTAAGGACCGGAGTGTACGCTCCCCTGACCAAAGCCGGCACTTTGGTCGTCAATGACGTGGTAGTCTCCTGCTACGCCACTGTGGACAGCCAGGCCATGGCCCACTGGGCTTTCCTGCCTCTGCGGCTGGCCTGGAACGTCAGAACGGCTCTCAGCAGGCTGTGGAGGGTGGTGACCCACCCCTCCACCCTCTGGAGGGAGGAGAGTGTGGCTGTGAGCCCCAGGCAGACGTCCTACGGGGTGCACTGGTACGCCAAGGTGTTGTATTCCACTGCGGACTACTTGATCCCCAGCCATTTGCACGAGTGACTTTGATATCAAAGATTGAGTTTGGCCAGTGACTGTGGCTCTGCCTCAAGATAGCGGGTTACAGACATATACGTATTAATAATCAATACGGATAATCTCTATCTGTTTCCATAGCGAAACATGAAGCCGATTTTTGAAGACAAATGACTATCCATATGGAAAAGTGAGATACGATCAGGCACATACTGCTTTGATTGAAAGGCTAGTAAACGTCATTGTCCACCGAAACGCATGTCTTTGATGACTACTATAATAGCGCATGGCGCATGCGTATCATGCCACCAAATCCTTATGGATATTCATTTGTTTCATATTTTTGGCTTCATCCTGGCACCCATTATTGTTTATTAATACGTATATGGTTACAGAACAGAGCTGTAACAAAATGGCGGGTTGAAAATAGCGTCATGCAAGGGTCAACAACTTTTTTTTCATCGGGTAGATAGTCTCCTTCCACACGCATTATGCTTGAGTTTTCGGAAATCATTTAAAATCTTTCAATCGGTTGCATACTGCCTGTAGGTTAATAGAGGAGGTGGTGAATTCATTATTCCAGATTCTTTGGGATTTTCTCTCCTCGTTTCTACGAAAGCGTAGAACGGACATGAGATATTTTTTTCTTAATTTCGAGTTATAACTCGATATTAGCTTAATTTCGTGTTACAACTCGAAATCAGCTTAATTTCGAGTTATAACTCGAAATTAGTACTAATTTCGTGTTACAACTCGAAATTTGCTTAATTTCGAGTTATAACTGGAAAGTAGTGCTAATTTCGTGTTACAACTCGAAATTAGCTTAATTTCGAGTTATAACTCGAAATTAGCTTGATATCGAGTTATAACTCGATATTAGTACTAATTTCGTGTTACAACTCGAAATCAGCTTAATTTCGAGTTATAACTCGAAATTAGGCTTTTCTTGAGTTGTAGTACGAAACCAATGCTCTCAATGAGTCAGATTTTCACAAGAATTAGTCGTATCAATCTCGGTATAGTACCTAACAGTGTAGTAAGCAATGGAAGGAATAATTTCATTTTATTTCTCATTGGGGCTACAACTAATAGAAATTGTTTTCTGTTTAGCCTTCAATCATGATATTTTTATTAGTGATCGACATCTCAGATGAAAATTGAGGAGGATGAATTTGTACAGAAGAAGAAATAACTATGACATAGCTCGGATTGAAGAGTTTATTGAAGAGAAGCCCTTATTTCGTGTTACAACTCAAGGGAAGCTTAATTTCGAGTTGTAAAACGAAAGTAGTACTAGTTTCGAGTTATAACTCGAAATTAAGCTAATTTCGAGTTGTAATACGAAATTATCACTAATTTCGAGTTATAACTCGAAATTAAGCTAATTTCGAAATGTAACACGAAATTAGTACTAATTTCGAGTTATGACTCGAAATTAAGCTAATTTCGAAATGTAACACGAAATTAGTATAAATTTCGAGTTATAACTCGAAATTAAGCTAATTTCCAGTTGTAACACGAAATTAAGCTAATTTCGAGTTGTAACTCGAAATTAAGCTAATTTCCAATTCTAACACGAAATTAAGCTAATTTCGAGTTGTAACTCGAAATTAAGAAAAAAAATATCTCATGTCCGTTTTACGCTTTCGTACGTTTCTATGCAATAAAAATATGAATATTATTTCAGTATACGTGTAGTGAGGACAAATCAGATGATATGCCCTGAAATGTCACTGCGTTTGAAGAATTTTCCTATCAGAGAGCCAAAAAGGAAAGTTCGCTAGCTTGCCAGTGACAATTTGTATTGGAAACAGTTTGGGACGACAAATACAGGTATATAGAAAACATATCAATTATTTACTTGGCTTCGAACGTTTCGGGAACGAATCTGCTCCCGTTTCCACCATGAAGAATGGATTTTTTGCATCGTACTTGTCCTGACACTTTTCAGTTTTCAATTGTTGACGTTGGCAATCAAATGAGTTACAGGATGTTCTCATTGAAATTTTCATTTTCAGATTTGAATAGAATTTTGTAGATAAGACGATTCATCAAATTGAAAACAAACAAGGTCCACAACAACAAAATCAACCATCAATAACGACAAATATAATACCATACATTCCCGGCATATCTGAAAAAATAAAACGTGTTGGTGATAAATTTCAAGTGAGAACTGTGTTCGAAACTGCACATACAATGAGATCAATTCTAACTCGAACAAAACTGAAAATTGAAGCAGAATCGTCAAAAAATGTGTATTCACAGTATACCTTGTGTTCGTGGAAAGTTTTATGCAAGTGAAATCAAGAGACCTCTTTCAGTAAGGACGAAGGAACATAAATACAATATAAAGAAAAGACACATCGACATATCGAACTAGCAGAACATATCCTTACTGAAGATGGACAACATGAAGCAGAGTGGAATAATATTGAAATCATTAGAAAAGAAGATAACAACCAGAAAAAAAAATTGAGGAATCTGTTTGCATTCTTCTGAACGGAGACAATAGCATTGCTTCCTGTTCAGTGGATATAGATAGAAGATGGTATTCACTATTGAAATCTGAAAATGAAAATGGTAAATTCATGATTGATTAATGAAAATATATTGTAACTCATTTATTGATTGCCGACGTTACCAATTGTCACTGAGAACTGAAAAGTGACAGGACAAATACGAATTTGTGATACAAAGAATCCATTTTTTATGTTGAAAACGGGAGCAGAATCGTTTGCGAAACGTCCAAAGCAAAGTAAAAATTTGATATTTTTTCTATAAACCTTAATTTCTCTTCTCCAAACTTTTTTCAATACAAATTGTCACTGACAAGCTAGTGAATTTTCCGTGTAGGCTCTCTGATAGGAAAATTCTTTAAACGCAGTGACATTTTGGCGCAAATCATCTGATTTTTCCTTACTACACGAATATTGAAATAATATTCATATTTTTATTTTATATAGAAACGAGGAGAGGAAATCTGGAATAATGAATATATTTTCGTTTTTGAACCAAGTTAGGTTATTGAAAAATTCAAGTGTTAGGGAATAGATCATCTACCTAAACAAACTAACCTATCTGTTTATGGTATTCTTGTAGAAAACGTTGTCGGTTAACTGGTCGCTATTTCGTAACGCGCTGTTTTGTGGGTTCTGTTTCATAAGTGCTATTTTGTAACGCGCTGTTTTGTGGCAGATCCAGTGAATGTGTATATTTGATCGTTTTATTTATTCCTATTTATAAGAGTTGTAAGATATGTCTATGAGACGGATGTTGTAGAAAACTTAGCATTTGATGTTATTCAGTATACAGATGCGACCTATTGTCCAATACTTAATGAAATTTTATGTACAGGTGGGCAATAAAACTTGCTTTTCGACTAAATTTCTACATACAAGGTGTTTATTTAGTACTTCAGTGAGTGAATCTACGACTAATTTCAGTGGAACTGACTAAAAAGTCATATTCTCTGAGATATTGTCTAATGTCTATGCGAAATGTCACACTGAACTGTTTCATCACTATCCAAACCGATTTTTCATTCCCTCAATACGTGGTTTCGCTAACTATGTTAGCATCTTCAGGAGGAGATTTAAAAAAAATTTGTATTCAAATAACTCTAAAATTCAAGTCAGCAATTTTTGATTAAGTACTTCCATCAGGATTTGATCAAAAATCAAGCCGCTGTGGATTGATTTTCACATAAAATCAAGCCCCTGCGGATTGTTTTTTACAAATAAATACTGATAGGCAATTTCCAAGTATATTTTTAGTATTCGTTCAAAATAAAAAATCTAAAACTAACCGCTAGGAAGTGTGAAAATCCATGATCTACAAACAAAACTACGACTTTTTATCTAAAAGTTAACTATGATCGGAATTATTTCTGGATTTATTTCATTCCAAACATAGTGCCATAGTGTTGATCATGTATTCTAGTCGAAAGGTCGAAAACTGTACAGCAAATTTTCGGGAAACTAACTTTTCACCCATGAAGTCTACTTTTTGGAGTAAAACAGATAATTTCAAATATCTCAGAAACTATTAACTTTTGCATGATGCATATCCGGGTTAAATTCAATCCATACCACCTCTCCTATCACATCTTCAAAAGATTGTATCGAATTACCAGTACCCCTGTATAGCTTCGTATGATTCAGTATTGGCAAAATGTTTGCAATGACCAAATAAATAAAAGCCTTGTCATTAGAGTTTCATTGGAACGAGCATTGGAATATGCTATGACTGAATTTTTAACTCCATTTCATCACACTTCTCTTGATTTCGTTAAGATAGGTAGACATATTAATAAATTTGTATATATCCAATAAACATTGCCTAGTTATTTAAATCTTATTTATTTGTTTGACTGCTTTTTCTAGTCTTGTAGTTACGAAAAAAAGAAACAATGGTTTAGGTGTAATGTTTTCACAATCAGCATTTAAAATGATAAATAATTTTTCAAATATTATAGTAAACAGTTTTGACAAAACACAAAAATCATTGTTGATGTCTTTCTTATTGTTCCTTATATGTTTTAAAAATATATATTTATTAACTATCTAAATGCCATTGCATAAAAAATGTACTTCCTACTTCTTTATGATTTTTTGTAATTCTACTGTATTTTATTGTATATAAATATTTTTAGTTACTTTGTAAAGTGTCTAGTATTTGTATTATGTAAATAAACTGTATGATTGTCATTTGGGTGTTCTTGCTTTTCAGATCTAACCTTACCAATTGTTTACTTCTATAACTAGTCGACAATTCCCGCATGAAATTATGGTTCCGACGATTTTGTGACAATCTACATATAATCTGATTCTGGGAGCTCGAATCTCTTGCGATGATATAGTATTTTTCTGCAACCAACACAAAAGTCGTACATTTCAATAACAAAATTAGCTCTTGAACTGCCGTTTTTATCACTGACACAAAAATTTGTATGTTGCTAGGCAACATATTTAATTCCTAGTATCTGAAATCGAACTTTATTTGCTAGGAGCTAGAGTTGAACTTCAGTTGCTATGAATGTACTAGACGTCATCAAGAATAACCAACATTGTTACAGTTGGTTATTTGGGTTGGGACGCATATCTGATTTGTTACCAATTTCGGCGGATTTGGCATTTCATACCCATGCTGGGGATATAAATACACCTTATTTTAGTTGAGTATAGAAATTATACACATCTCAGTCAACAAGTATTTTTGTTTTGATCAGGAAAGCCTTCAAGATTCACCTACTTGATCTGTATTTCATTCGTTATTCTCGGAATGAATAAATTGTTTCTGGATAAATACGGCAAGCAATAGTTTTTTTGTCTCAATCAAAGAAATTGTTTACCTCTATTTGATTATCAAGTCAAAACACAGTGTAGTATGGAGAGGAATAAATAATCGCTATTATTAATGTTGATATGATATGTCCAATAATCTCTTCCTTGTCTTTTTACAGTTCCCTGGATATTACTTTCATTTTATTGTTGATATGCTCACTAACCTAACATTTTTCACGTCTTGTTCCTATACCTGACACTAGCGCGGTATTTGCCATTAGAGCACCTGGTTCATACACAAATCTGTCACTCTGTGGTTGTATTTATA